TATTATCATTATTATTACTAATGGTTTTATTCAATATTATATTTCAGTACAGTATAGAATTCTCAGTACAAGGTATTTCAACAAGTTTGTTTTACAAAAAATCAAGAACAAAAATGAAGGGAAAAGATTAAAAGAAAATCTGGAAAAAACTGTACAACTTTCCAAATTCAAAACAGGTTACGAATACAGGTTATTGACTAGGTTAACTCTAACAACCTCTTCGTCACAGAGTATATTTACTAGGTAAGGTATTATAGAACTTTTATACTTTTGCTTATGTGCATGGATTTTAATGTAATTACGTCTCGTTCTTCCAGAAGATATACAAGGAGAAAGATAAGAGTGAAGGGGATGGTTAGTATCTGATAAGATAACACCCGCCAGGAGTTTGCATAAATTTAGATGTTTATCCACAACCATATTAATTATGACCTCGAAAGATTCACCACACATCTTGCCAACTGCCTTCAGTACTCTCCGTAATATAACAAAGTTTTTTTTCTCAAAAGCCCGGGAAGGAATATTGGAGAACAGCAAAGAATAATAAGTAATATGCAAGAATTGACAAATTGTAAGAGTAAATGTCGAGTAATCCTAAGAGCATACAGTCTCTTTATGTGATAAATCAGACGGAAAACTTTCTTCGATAACAATAAAACGTGAGAAGACCAAGACAGTTCAGAGGAAAAGGTAAGATCAAGATAACTGATCTTAGACGCTGTGTTTATCAAAGAGTCTCCGATGGTTTAGATGGTGGTTGGAGGTAGTCAACATGATCGATAGTATTCGATCTGCACTAATAAGGACTAGACAAGCAAGACATTGATCACCACCCAGTGATCAATCAATTGTAATTAGTCTCCGATGGTACAAGCTTTATGGGATCCCAAAGTGATGGTTAGATGCCGTTCATGTCTCATACTAAAGTTAACAGCTTGACATTTAGGCGGATAAAGTATGAGACCATTAACAACAGACCAACAATCCATAAGAGACAAAAACTCATTCATTACTATAGGATGTAAAGAGGTAGAGATAGGCATATATTCAGTGAGAGCATCCGCATCTAATTAACTTCTTTTAATATGCTTTACTATAGCAAACAAAATATAGTGTACTTAGTAAACAAAAATGTAGCTTATCATTAGAAGATAAAGACAAAATAATCAACCACTGACTAATTTCATAAAACACCATGAGCATTTAAAACAAATTTTATTACTGTCTCAGTAGTCTGGAGGTTTAACGTTCGTGTGTATGAGATTATAAACTCCTGGGTTCCAATTCCTATAGGTCGAGATTGTGGATGAGCACTACTGAAGAGTTTCATACTAGAATGAAATGATCGTCTAGTACTTCTAGATTTTACAAATTGATCTAATTTCAATTAACTCATAAATTCAATTATTAAATTACTATCACATCCACAAAACTTCTCAATGATTCTGCGATTTGTATATGGATAAAGGAATTACAAAAAATAGAAAAAGGGAACTTAAGAAATGGTCATGGCTAATAACACTATTTCATTCATTTTAATTATAATCATAAATAGTAATGACCTAACTTGATAAATTATCATTCAACTTGAACAATAGTACGTATTCAATGCACGAAAACAAACATTCAATATTGAGATTTTAACCAAACATTTTAAAGAAAAGTGATTTCCGTAAATAAAAAAGATCTAAATCATCATAAATGGATCAATATTGGACCATCATTGAAAACCTTGAAGCACAAGACAACCGTTTCATTTTAGTATGGAACTCCTTAGCAGGACGTATCCATGATCCCTTCTTGTAGGATTCGAATCAAGAACATTCGATGTCACACGGTTACAGAAGATGAAATAAAAATATTTTTTTAGTAGTATTTTGATAACATATTAGTTTTTAATATTTTTCACAAAGTAACAGTTTGCAAAGATCATGACAACCAAAAGAATTATTGTAGTTTGAGTTGTAATGTGGGTGGTATCAGATGAGAGAAATTCGGGAAGTGATATTCAATAGATAAAGAAGGAACGAATCAAATGAATAAATGTCTTTTCAATTAGGTTTTCATCATAGCTTAACACTAATAATAATAATAATGGAGTAATACTCATCGAGTGAAATATCGGTTATAAATTCACATTGAATAATTGGAAGAAAGAAGACTAATAATAATCAATGTAGTTATTCGAAAATCAAGTAGTTGCTACGTTGCATAATATATGTAAAACAGAACAAACAGAATATTTTGATGAATGGTCAGTAGAATAGTAGTTATGAATAATCAAGGTAGTACGAGAATAGTTCTCCTACAAACGTCCCTATACCGATTGCCAAGGTGGTACGAAAATAGTTTTGCTACAAACACCCCTATACCGATGATCAAGGTAGGGGCGTTTATAGCAGAACTATTTTCGTGCTTCTTCCATTTTGTTTTTGTTTTTTGAACTTTGTATTTTTGTATTTTTTCTCAACATTCATCTCTTGATTCTTACATGATTGCAATACTACTGACCATTCACCAAACTAACTTGTTAGTTCCTTCTTTTTTAAATATATTATGCAACATAGCAACTACTTCATTTCGAATAATTACTTTGATTATCGAATAAGAAAAAGAGAATTAAGCAAAGAAAATTTTCTTTTTGACAAAATCATTTACTTAAGCTGTACATTCGTATATATAGTTAGTTATATGGAAAATATATGTCTATAGGAGGATAGAAACAACTGCATCACAAAAATGGATTCGAGGATAAATAACAAATGTGGTTACGTACTAATCAAAGGGTAATGAAGAAAATCGTTTATGGGTCAGATAATTGTGCGAATGACAGATATGAAGAAAAGTGACAAAGACAAAGGTCATAATAATAGACTGAATAATAAGGTAATAATAATAATAATAACTGATTCGAGTTTAAAATGCAAAATAATCAAATAAAAGTGCAGAAAACACAAAACAAGAAAAAACACCGAAACATATCCATTGAGGGAATTAGGGTCAAGGAAGGATGAGATGTTGGACAAATCGTTTCTGTACGCAAAGTTCGGGCTTGAGTTCGTGAATTGCCAATGCCTCAGCAGTGCACAATGATAAACTTCCGCTTTGGGTCATATCAATGTGTATTTATGAATTTACTTGCTCATGTGGGGCACATTACATAGGCCGAACAAAGCGATCATTTTCCAAACGCATCTCAGCACACGATCCGGCTTGGCTTTTAAAAGGAGAATGTAAGACAATCACTAATTCTATACAGGAGCATCTAATCAATTTTGGACACACTGCTCGTAAGTATTCTTCTTTTAAAGTGATCTATAGAGTCAAAGGAATTGGTTCGAAGGGGTGTCGAATCAATATTCTATACTAGAAATTCACGAACTCAAGCCCGAACTTTGCGTACAGAAACGATTTGTCCAACATCTCATCCTTCCTTAACCCTAATTCCCTTAATGGATATGTTTCGGTTTTTTCTTGTTTTGTGTTTTCTGCACTTTCATTTGATTATTTTGCATTTTAAACACGAATCAGTTATTATTATTATTATTATTATTATTATTATTATTATTATATTATTCAGTCTATTATTATGACCTTTGTGTTTGTCGCTTTCCTTCATATCTGTCATTCGCACAATTATCTGACCTATAAACGATTTTCTTCATTACCCTTTGATTAGTACGTAACCACATTTGTTATTTATCCTCGCATCCATTTTTGGGATGCAGTTGTTTCTATCCTCCTATAGACATATATTTTCCATATAACTAACTATATATACGAATGTACAGCTTAAGTAAATGATTTTGTCGAAAAGAAAATTTTCTTTGCTGAATTCTCTTTTTCTTATTCAATGACGCTGTGATTATTATTAATCTTCTTTCTTCCAATTATTCAATGTTAATTTATAATCGATTTGTCATTATATTAATTGTTACGTAACGTATCTACTTAATGGGTATTATTTCATTATTGTAAATCATATCAATATTTATTAGTGTAAAACTATGATAGAAAACCTAATTGAAACGGCATTTCTTCGTTCAATTCGTTCCTTCTTTATCTACTGAATGTCAAAGTGACATTCAATTTACATCGTGAACACATTAAGTCACATATTGAGTTTCAGATAAGTTTTCTTTAGTTCAAGCATTTTAAAAGTAAGATTATTTTTGATTACATAAGTGATTAACACAACAATCTAGAAAATGTATAACAAACATGGCTTTCTTTTTAACCAGGTTATTTATAACTTCAATAATGATACATTCCATTAATATATGAATACTCATTGAATACCTATAAGTAGTATATCAGTAAATAGCCCAAACGTAATATAACAATTGATAAATTGTTTGCATTTTCACAGTTGAATACACGAGTTAATCTAGGCTAGATTACCATTAAAAATTTGTAAGTATTGGATTACCGTTTCATCCTAGTATAAGACTCGTCAACAATGTGCATCCATGATCCTACACATGGGACCTTCAATCTCGCACACAAGCGCTTAACCTCTAAACTACTGAACTGAAATCATACAGTAAATCTTTCATTTATAAAATGTCAATCCATCATCTAAGACTTTATTTTTCTATCATTTCCACATCAATCATTCTTTGTTCTCGTTTTTTTTCTACAATCTTCTTAACTATTTGCCACCAGACATTTTACTTTCTATTGATACTACCTACTATTTCGTATCTGTTTACATTAATAGCACATACAATAGTAATATAAACACAATCTAAGAAAAAATCTATACTGTTTGAAATCATGAGGCAATTGAAGCTAGACCACCATGGAAAACTTGGAAGCAATGGACTCCTCAGCAGTGCGCATCCATGATCCCTCACCCCATTGGATGGTGGTCTACCTTCAATTGACTCATGATTTCAAACAGTGAAATTTCTATTTTAAAAAAATCTTCACAAAACCCTTTCTGATAAAAAAAATTTGTAGCCAATAAAATATAAGTTTTTACTTTATCGATAACTTACGTGTTCCATCAAATCGTGTTGCAATTGTATCAAGAAAAGTATTTTGTGGAGCTAATAATCCTTTTCTTTGTGGCATAATTGATATTTTAATTTTATTTTTCTTCCTTAATTCTTAGTTAATATCCATTCTATTCCTATTTTGGTAAACAGATATGATTGTATATTTATTCATTATAAGTAATATAGTATACAAAGAATATTATACATATTCACTGTATAGTATTATGCATTATGATGATTCAATAGAGAAGTATTTCATGAATGTTATGACTTCTTTATCGAATTCGATGTGATAATAGAACAAACTGTATCCCTTTAATTGAAGAAATACAAACATTGAAAAACTTAATTTGTATCATGTTAATTGTATTTTGTCAATTTCTAAAGGAATAATATATTTTATGAATGATTTAAGAATGCCCATATATTAATGTAGTATGAAGATTATTTTTTTCCCAAATCATAAACAGATTATGATTGGTTGATTATTGTTGACCAATCAGAATGAACGTTGGAATTAGATACTAATAGTTTGGGAAAAATTTCTTTTTTTGGAAAAAAAACAACTACTCATATTTCATGTAATCTGATTTAACAGTATAAATGGAAATAGTTTATGATTTAATTTAATAGTTGAATTCATGAGTCAATTGAAACGAGACTACCATGGAAAACCTGGAAGTATTGGACGGCTGTTTCATTCTAGTATGGAACTCCTTATTTGTGATGGGTTTCTAAGAGGTATTTCTTGGAGTTTTAATGGGAAGTCGCGACCACTTGAGTTCAACCGAGTCTGTTGTGAGATAGTAACACACTGATGACAATGATGGATGGTGGCACAATTTCGTGGATTAGTTGTAGTTAGATATTAACACTGTTGGATGCTGGCTCAGTGATCTAGAGATTAATCGTTCGCGCTCGAGAGTGATATGTCCTGGATTGAAATTTGGTGAGTTGGGATCGTGGATCTGCACTGTTGAAGAGATCCTTACTTGGAAGAAACGGTCGTCCAGTGCTTCTAGGTTTTCAATAGTGTTTTGCTTCAAATGATTCATGAATTCAACTATTGAATTACTATAATATCCACAAAAACCCTTCTATCATTATAATCATTATATGCTTACTAATGACGGTCTTCAAGATGTATTTCCTGGAGTTCTGGTGGAAACTAGTGACCAATTGAGTTCAACCGGATCTGTTGTGAAATAGTAATTCACTGATAAAAATAGTGGACGGTGGCAAAATTTCTTGGATTAGTTGAAGTTAGACATTAACATCGTTTGATATCGACCGGCTCAGTGTTCTAGTGGTTAAGTGCTCGAGCGCGTAGATGTATAGGTCCTCGGTTCGAATCTCACGGAGGGCGGGATCGTGGATGCACACTGATGAGGAGTTCCATACTATGACGTGTTGACCATCCAGTACTCCCAGGTTTTTCATTGTGGTCTAACTTCAACTGACTTATACTTACTCACTTATTTACTTCCTTACGCCTGTTACTCTTAATGGAATATAGGCTGCCGACCAACATTCTCCAACACACTCTGTCCTCCGCCTTCTTTTCTAGTTCTATCCAATTCTTGTTCATTTTTCTCATGTCTATCTCCATTTCTCGCCGTAATGTGTTCTTTGGTATTTTTCTTTTCCTATAACCTTCAGGATTCCATATGACGGTTTGCCTTGTGATACAGTTGAGTGCTTTCCTCAATGTGTGTCCTATCCACTTCCAGCGCTTCTTCCTGATTTCTTCCTCCACTGGGATCTGGTTTGTTCTTTATCACAGCTGATTGTTGCTAATAGTGTCCGGCCAACGGATCCGAAGTATTTTGCTTAGACAACTGTTAATAAACACTCGTATCTCCTGGATGATGGCTTTCGTAGTTCTCCAGGTTTCCAGCCCATACAGTAGAAAGGTCTTGACATTTGTATTTAGGATTCTAACTTTGTTGTTGGTTGACGGTTGTTTTGAGTTCCAGATGTTCTTCAATTGTGAATATGTCGCTCTTGCTTTACCGATCCGCGCCTTCACATCTGCATCAGATCCACCCTATTCATCAATGATGCTGCCCAAATATGTAAATGTATTTACATCTTCTAAATCTTCTCCGTCAATTGTGATTCGATTGGTGCATGCTGTGTTGTATTTGAGAATCTTGCTTTTCCCTTTTGTGTATATTGAGACCTACTACTGCTGAGTTTGCTGCTGCTACACTGGTCGTCTTCTCCTGCATTTGTTGTTGCGCGTATAGTAGAAGAGCCGGATGATTTGCGAAGTCTAGATCGTCCAACTGCATCCTAGATGTCCTTTGTATCCCGTGTTTCCCTTCAGATGTTGACGTCTTCATGATCCAGTCGATCACCCGGAGAAAGAATAAGGGTGAGAGTAAGCAACCTTGCTTGACACCGGTATTTACTTCGAACAAGTTTGTCAACTGTCATCCATGCATGATTTTGCAGTTTAATCCATCATAGGAATTCTGAATGATATTGACTATCTTCTGAGGCACGCCGTAGTATCGAAGAAGCTTCCATAGTGTTGTTCTGTCCACGCTATCAAATACCTTTTCATAAAGGACTTATAAATTCATCTAATAAATTACTATAAAATATCCACACAAATCCTTCTCCCACAAATTAAATGAATACATCTATCCAATATACATATATAGATCATAAGATAAGTACCTTCCATTCATTGTTTCTTTTTATCAATGACACGTACAACTACCATCACAATAAATATACGCTATTTTTTTTCACAACAATCATTCTCTTTTATAACTTGTTTCTTCTTCTTTGGTATGTTTGTTTAAATAGGACATTTATCATATAAACAATATATATATATATAATTGTTTATATTATTGACAATAAACCTACAATAAGGTAAACATGTTAAAAACCATTACAAGCATAATAATAATAACATAAAATTGTTGACATTGAATATCAATGTTATTTAACAAGTAAATAATGCGAGAGAAAAGAAAACATCATCCATTCTTATGTGGTAACAGTTACTATGATATGTATATCTATATATATATATCTATATGACACGGTTAGATACGACGTGAATAGTGAAAGAACAAACAAACAAATAAAATAAAACAATTTTGATAAATTATGTCATTAGTTTAACCAAAAATGTTTTCACGTTATATCTGTAAGGCTTATACTTCAACTCATAGAAGAAGGAAAGAAATATGGTACAAAATAAGACGAATGAAGGATAAACATGAAAGTGTTCAAGTTATTTTCTTTTAAGACTGTCGTTTATTGAATAGAAAAAGATGTTGTTTTGAATGAATAAATAAATAAATAGATAAATAAACACGTTTTCAGCAGCTAAGATCAGGAGTCAATTGAAGTTAGACCACAATGGAAAACCTGGAAGAACTTGATGCCCCACATGTCACAGTATGAAACTTCTCAGTAGTGCACATCCACGATCCTACTTCGTGAGATTCCAAACCAGGACCTAACAGTCTTATGCGCGAACGTCTAAGCTTTAGACCACTGAGCCGACAGGTATCGAACGGTGTTAATATCTAACTACAACCAATCCACGAAATTCAGCGACACAACCACAATTGACATCAGTGAGTTACTATCTCATAACAGATCCGGTTGAACTCGATTGGTCATGGCTTTCAATAGAACTCCAGGAAATACCTTTTGGAGACCGTCACCAGTGACAATATATTGAATAATGTCAGAAAATGTTTTTGTGGATATTAATCTAATTTCAGTAGTTGAGATTATGTAGCTAGGCCACCATGAAAAATTTGAAAGCACTGGACAGTCGTTTCGTCCGATTGTTGTACTCCAAACAACCCCTTCTGATATTAAATACGTTTTATTTAACCCATTCATTGATTTACAAGAGTTTAGAGGATTATATCAATGTATGACTCTTCAAAATGCTTCTATTAGTTATAAAGTAATGTTACTTCCAGTTGGTTTTTTATAATTTTACCATAGTAAAAGAATCCATACATTCACATATTCACTTCGTATTGTTTACTTGAATATTCCCATTGATGTTTAAGATTGCAATTGATCAGTCATTTATTTGCATAATAGAGTACTTGGTTTGAGTCCCAAAGTGAACATCAACACTAGGATGTAGGTACATCTAGTTGATGTGTCTGAAAAAGGACAAAACGTGCGTTGTGGATTTCACTGCTAGCCACTATACATCTTTGCTAAGAATGCTTGTGGATTAAAGAAATATCGAATCAATACACACAGTATGCACATATGCCAATAAGAGACTGATGATCGATCGCAGTCCTAAACATCAATGGGATGATTCAAGTAAATAATATCGAATGAATTTAAACTTCACCCCATTATACAAGCAAGTGGCTATCAGGCATCAGTAGCTAAGTAGATAACTTGATGGAAATTGAAGCGAACGGTATTGGGTTTGAGTCTCGTATTGAACATCAACTCTGAGATACAGGTACATCCAGTTGATGGATCCCGAATAGGACAAAACGCGTGTCCTGGATTCTACTACGAGCCAGTATCCATATCTGCTTATAGATAACATATATTTTGTGAGATGTTCAGTTGTATTGTAATGTAGTTATCTTTGAAATTGTAACCTAATTCATGACGAAGAAGATACCAAATGTTGAATTCCTAATACAAAGTAGAGCCCATTAGATAACCTAGTATTTCGTCCTTTTTATAACGAGAGGTTTGTAAGGTTTGTTCAGTTGATAGTTAGATAACTTCAACTATTGAACGTAGGTAGATAAAAACTGAGAAACGAGGAGTAATATATCATTAGTTAGTTCTAGTGTCGGATATGGACATTTACCACAAAAGAGTTCTAGACTCAATAGATGTTCAAAATTAGGACCACTGAATGTTAACCTATTGCTTATTAGATAATATGTTTGTCAACATATCCGAGGATTTTCGATTCTATTACTGGCAGGTTCAATAATGTTGAAACATATAACCATATAACAGTTAAGAAATAACATAATTTATCTTCCTTGGTCCGCTTTGTTTATTGTCAATAATGTGTCGTTTTGGTTTCTGGAACGGATTCAAAAAACGATATCAGAATGTGATATTTAATTAGTAAAGATTCAAGCTACCCTACATTCTGGAATTCTAACAATTATCGATAATCCTTCTGATATTTATTGTGACAAAAATATAATGTCAGAAGGGTGTTTTTGTGGATATTATAGTAATTTCAATGGTTGAAATTATGGATACACACTGCTGAGGAGTTCCACAATAAGACAAAACGATTGTCTAGTGCTTTCCAATTTTTCATGGTGGTCTAGCTACAAGTGACTCATAATCTCAACTATTGAAATTACTATTA